GGGTGAATGGTCAGAGGCAGTTTGGCAGGTCGGAGGCGCAGGTGAGCCCATCAAGTATCGAGGTTGGGTCGAAGAAGGTGGCTGTCGCGGAGGATGAGGAGGGGGGGTCGGAAGGGGGAGGCGGGGGGGGGGGATGAGGAGGAGGAAAGAGAGGATGGAGGGAGGTAGAGGAGGGGAGGGGATGCTGATGAGGCGGCGGAGGGGGGAAGCAGGGGGCGCATGAGAAGGAGGCGGATGGCGATGAGCAGGAGGAGGGAGGCGGACCCCACCCCTTCCGTGAAGGACCCATCCATCCAGGGCGCCATCATCAGCCGCGGCTTCGACTGCACGCCCTGGAAGGTTCGCTTCGGCCGCCTCCAAACGCGTGTTGCACCTCGCGCGCGATACCTCGTCAAGGATCCGCTCTTCGTCGCCGTCGTCTTCCGCCTCTTTAGTCGCCTCTGCCCCTTCATTGTTGCCGAGTTCTTGCCATTGCAGCTCCCCCCCATCCTCTGACTCATGTAGGCCCCCCCCGGTGATCCGCCCTTCTGGCTCCTGGCCCCTGGCCCCTGGCCCGTGCCGGCGCTGGCCCTTATGAATGCTTCTCCTTCCGCGTCCTCTCATCCCCTCCTTCTTCTTCTCGATCCCTTTTCCTCCATCCTCTCCCCCGCTTTTTCGCGCCGCAGTCTTCTTCCGCCCTCTCCGTTCTCATCCGGCGGGCGTCGCCCCGCGCGCTTTTTCTGCCGCGTCGCCCGGGTCCGATCAGGGCGCCGAGACGGGCCTGTGGAAGTCGATCCCCGCGGCGGCGTACATCGAGAAGGGCTTCGGGTCCGACTTGCCAGAGCGTGGCGCGCTCGAATTATTGGCCACGAAGCTGCGCGTTGCAGTTATCGATTCGGGCCCCATGGGATCGCGGGGGAAGGAAGCGCGGAGGAAAACAGGGCGGTGGCGGGAGGGCGTTCAGGGTGACAGGAGGAGGGGCGGACGAGGGAGGGACGGTGGAGGGGGCGAGGGAGGGGAGAGGATGGTGACCAGGTGGAGGGAGGGAGGGAGGGAGGGAAGAGGATGCCATGATGAGAGATCGCAGGCGGAGTGGGAGTCTGTTTGAGATTTGCCCTTGGGTCGTTTCTTCGCCTGCGCTTCGCTGCGGCTCTTGGCCCCTCCCACTGTCGGAGTCTCTACTCGGTGGCCATGTCCGATGCCCCCCCCCTTCCCCCACCTCCTGCTGCGGCTTCCGGATGCTTGTCTCCTTTCTGCTTGTCTGCCTCGCGCTTCTCGCCGCCCGAGCCCCGCCCCCTCTCCGCCCAGGACGGCATGGGGGGGGCGCTTCGACGTGCCCGTGCCGCCCTGTTTCCTAGAGAACAGTAGGTCGTCCACGATCCACCAGGGGCTGGGCGCGGCGGTGGAGTGCCTCAGCCTTGACAAGATCAAGGCGATGTCCACCGCCGCGCCGTTCATCTTCTTGAGCCAGGTGCCCGACAGCGCCCCGTCGAATGGGCGGGCCCTGGGCTTCGTGCACAACGAGCCCCGCGAGGCGACGAACGTGCTGGAGAATCCGATCGACCAGTGCGCCGTGCATCAGGTCCACGCTGTGATGACCCACGCAGTGCGAGAGGACAATCTTGTGGGAAGCGGGGTGATTATATCCATGCCTTGTTTTTAGTCCCTCTCCCCTCACCATTACCTGGTGGTCTCCGATCCTGCGCCGCCGCCGCCCATCTCATCCCTCGTTCGCCTCGCTCCCTTCGCATCAGCCACCCCTCGACGTATCCCGTGGCCAGTCTGCCCTCCTTCCTTCAGGCGCAGAGCGCAGCTGTTCTCCTCCCTCAGGGGCCCCCCCCCCCCCCCCTCGCTCGCCCCGCCCTCGCTGGGGGGATGTGCAGGATGAGGGGCTACGTTAGAGGGAGAGAGAGAGAGAGAGAGGAGAGGGAGGAGAGAGAGATGAGAGAAGAGAAGAGAGAAGAGGGGGAGAGAGAGAGAAGGAGAGGAGGAGAGAGAGAAGAGAAGAGAGAGAGAAGAGAGAGAGAGAGAGAAGAGAGGGAGAGAGAGAGAGAGAGAAGGGGAGAGAGAGAGAGAGAGAGAGAGAGAGAGAATAGAGAGAAGAGAGAGAGGGGGAGGGAGAGAAGAGAGAGAGAGAGAGAGAGAGAGAGAGAGAGAGGGGAAAGAGAGGAGAGAGAGAGAGGAGGAGAGAGGTAGAGGAGAGAGGGGAGAGAGAGCCTCTCTTCGCAGAGAGCGCAGACAGAACGCGAGAGAGAGCTAGAGAAGGGAGAGAGAGCTATCTCGGCTCTATAGAAGCCAGATTGCTATAGAAGAGAGGTAGATACATAGAGATACAGATAATTTGGGGTCAGGATGCGAGGGTGCCGATATTCTTGGTTTGACGTCGCTGTCTCCTGCCTCCCCGGACGCCCCCCCGAGGACTCACTGGTGGGGGGCGCGCGCGCTAATGCAGTAGTCCACCGCTCTGTGAATCATCGCAACGCGGTCGCGAGAGCCCTCGGCATGCTGCTGATGGACGCGAGTATATTTGAGTTCAACGAGCTCGACGAGCCAGATCCTTGCTGGCGTCGCCGCCTGACCAGCGCCATGGAGTTCTCAATCGGGAAGGACGTCAGGGTCTGCACGGGCAATCGACGCGCGGCAGCTCGTGATCCACAGGCGCCGCGGCGGATGAGGGATGCGGCTTGCTGGGTGGATGATGTGGACCATGAGGAAGCAGAGGGGGAGGTGGGTGAGGAGGCCTTTGATGATGAGGTAAAGTGATGCAGGAGGTCGAGGGGGACGGGGCCCGGTGAAGGTGGATGAGGATTGGCGACTGCGAGAGGGGGGGTGATGGTACGGCCGAGCAGCAGGGTCGTCCTCCCTTTCCTCCAGTCTTTCTCCACCACCTCCTCGATTTCCCCCGCATTGCTTATCCACCTTTTGCCTGGGTCCACCTTTTCGCCCCCCGCATTGCTTGCCCGTCCCCCCATTTCTTGATCCACCTTTTGCCTTGGCCCTCCTCCTCCTTATATCCTGCGCCGCTTTCTCCATGCTCGCCTTGTGTGGGGCCCGCTGACAGGGGGCCGCCTTGGTGCGCAGCAAGGTGGACAAGCTCGCGCAGTTCGTCAACGGAGACATCCGGCGGTCGAAGATCGCCCACTACGAGCGCGGCGGCGGGCAGTGCGCCTCGGCCGACGAGGCAGCAGAGAACGCGTTGTGCGCGATGCTGGAGGCTGGACTGATCCCCCCGCCTGGCTGTCGCGAGCCCCGCAAAGACCGATGGGGTCACATGGGCGAGAGCATGGCTGAGCAGGCCCGCGACGTCAGAAGCTCCTCGCTTTCTTTCTTAACCTCCGTTGGATTCACCAGTGGGTTTGCGCCTTGTGACTCGTCTCCTTCCCAACTGGCGCCCTTCCCCAGGTCTCATCCAGCTTCATCTGCACCTCCCCCTATCATCCATTCGCTACCCGGCCATCGCCCCAGCGACGCAGCCCCGAGCTAAGAGGACGGGGCCTCTCGAGCGAAGGGGGCGGGCGATGGCTAGCACGTCTTCGGGGGGGCGAGGGGGGGGGGGGGGGGGGGAGGAGGTGGGCGAGAAGGGCAAGGGAGGAGGGGAGGCCGAAGAGTAGGGAAGGGAGGAGGACGAATGAGGAGGCGGAGGAGGAGGTGGGAATGATGGTGGGGAGGGGAGGAGGAGAGTAGAGGATGGGAAGGAGGGGGATGAGGCGGAGGGGAGGAAGGAAGGAGGAGGAGAGGAGGAGGAAGGGGAGAGGGGGAGGAGGAGGAGGAGTAGGCGGATGCCTCCAGAGGCCCTGGGCATCATGATTCACGACGTGGCGGCGCGGGCGCTTCTCAAGGCGTTCCCGAAGTGGGGGCGCATCGCTGCCGCCGCAGACCAGGACTTCAGGGGGGGGGGCCCTTGCGATTGCGCGATGACGACGGTAGTCGAGTCGATTTGGAGGACGACCGCGTCGTCGATAACGACGACGTCGATTTCGATGGCGACGACGTCTTCCGCCTCTCCCCCTCTTGCCCACCTCGCCCATCCACTCTCTCCTCCCTCTCTTCGTGGCCCTCCTCCTCCTCCTTCTCCTCCTACTCACCCCTCTCCTCCTCATGCCCCAACCCCCCCCCCGCCCCCCGCGCCCCCCCCCCCCTCCGCCCGCCCTCCCCCCTCCGCCCCGCCGCTGGGAAGCGGGCGCCGTGGACCGTCGCAAGTGCGCGGCGAGCAAAGTGCATCGCGCGTGCTGCGTCGTGAAATCGGTTGAGTTCAAGGTGCCGAGGCGCGCAGAGAGGGCCATGGGGGGATCGGGGGTTTCGTCGTCAGGCAGAGGATCTTCTTCGACAGGAGAGGTCAGCCTGCGATGAAACCCTTTGTCGCGCCCCCCCCCGCCCGCGCTCCTTGCGCGCCTCGGACAGGTGCGGCTTCTCGCTACTATGTTTGCAGGCCGTCCACTCCGCTGGCTTTGGCAGCGGCTTGAATGGCTTGATTCGCATCGTTGAGGGCTGCTGGACCCCCCGCGCTTGGCAGCCCCTCCGTTCTCATCCCGCGATCCCCCCGCTCATCGCTGCCTATCCTAGGACATCATGGCCTTCGGCTTTCGCAGTCGCAGTTCGTTTCAGAGATAGTTTGTTTTGGTCGCTGGCTCGGGCTAGGCTCTGCCTAGAAGGGTTCTTACCGCGTTGGCTCAAAGGGCGGGCAGTGGAAAACGCCCTGGGCGGTTCCCCCGGGATCCGCCCCGCGGTTCCCCCAGTGACGTTCCCTTAGCTTAGCGTTGCTTATCTCATCCTAGCTTAGCTTATGCCATCTTAGCTTAGCGTCGCTTCAGCTTAGCTCAGGTGTATTTTGGCTTAGCTTACCTTCGTCTTAGCACAGCGCAGCACAGCGTAGCGTATCATAACATAGCGCAGCATATCTTTTCATAACATAACCCAGTTTAGCATGGCGCAGCTGAGCATACTATACATATCTTAGCATAGCTTCGCATAGCACAGCACAGCATGACTTTGCATAGCTTAGCATCGCATGGCCTAGCATAGCATAGCATGGCATAGCGCAGCATAGCATCGCATGGCATAGCACAACATAGCATCACAGAGCATAGCGCAGCATAGCATGGCATAGCTAGCATAGCATAGCATAACACCTACTGCTGCGTTCCTAGGGACTCCAACTTCTAGGTCGGGTCGCACTGGGGTAATGATCTTTCAGAGAATAGGGCGTCGTCTCCCCCGGCCCCGGCACGCCTTCAGACAAAATAAAAAAAACTGCCGATGCCGCTACCTGTTCGCCCCTGGCCCCCCGCTCACCGTAAGCTCTCCCAGCCATTTCGTCGGAAAGTCGCTTTGTGCGTTCCCCTGTATCAGCCCCCCTCAACCCGTCACATACCCTCCCCCTCCCCGCTCGACCCCCCCCCCTCCCTCTCTCCCTCTCTCTCTCTCTCTATCTCTCTATCTCTGTATCTCTTTGTCTTTCTTGGCCCTCTCCGTGTTTTCTGCCCCTCTCTCTTTTCTCTCGTTTGTCTTTTCTTATCTCTCTCTCTCTCTCTCTCTCTCTCTCTCTCTCTCTCTCTCTCCCTCTCTCTCTCTCTCCCCCTCTCCCTATCCCTTGCTCTGCCCCCCTCCCCATGCGCGCCGTCTCTGTGCTACGTCCTCACTGTGTCTGGTGTCCCTGTTTTCGGTTCCGCCATGTTTCCCCCCTGCCTCCACCCCCTCTCCTTTATTCTTCTTCGCTGGCCCCCTTCGCCCCCCCATCCCTCCCCCTTCTCCTCTATCGCTTCGCCGCTCCAGCTCTGGCGTCGTGATCTCCCCAGTTCGGATCTAAATTCGCCCGATGAGGTCACCGGTCCAACGTCGAGCCCATTCGAAGAGTGCCTGCAGAGATTGCGGGCGATGCTGACCTGC